ATCATCAGCACAAGCTTGAGTTAGAAGTTGATGATGTTCAAAAGAATAACGAAAGCTTCTCAACCGAAACATTCAACCCAGAGGACAAAACTCCACCTGAGCTACAAATCTTCTCCACCATCTCAAAAGCATTACCTTAATGCCAAGTCTTTAAAATATACTAAAATTGAAGCTCAAACTATTTTCAGGACTTTTTTAAAAATCTACATTAGACCCTTAACAATTTAAATTTCTATATGTTCTCTGTAAAATAAAAACGATACAGTACATGAATGTACGATCTATTTCAAACTAGTTAACTAATACATTACACAAACGTACAATAGTCAGTCACACAAGTAATTTAAATCATAAAACAACAACTTATAACTTATGTTACATAATATACAGTGTAGTAAATGTATCTGTCTGCCTGTTTTCATTTCATCTATACACACAATCGAATACAAATGCAAAGATAAATATTGATGTAAGCATATGTTAGTGCTTGTATCGTTATGAGTGAATGTGATGACTAACGTTTAAACAGAGGTACGCATTTCTATGAGCGCTGTAATGATTAACTATGTACAGTGTTTAGATTTTAATGATAAACAATATAAAGGAACTTCTCATTAATTTGCATTATAAGCAAATTGTATTCTATGTATATGTTCAGTTGTTATCTGTAGACATATATATTGTCAATGGCATATCTAAGTGTATTTGAAACGTTATAGTCTGAGAATGAAATAACCAAATTCATTACTATTTCTTTTCAACATCTCTTTTCATGTAACTAAAAGAATATTTTATTACAAAAGTCTGGTCTACAAAATTCTCCTACTAGGCAAATACAATTTGATTGGTTTATTTTCGTATATTATTGAATGCCCACCAGAGAGTTAGATGCTATGGGGAGTAGAAATTATTAAAATCACATTCATCATCGTCATCATCATCCCCAACATCATCATAATTATAGGTAAGTTCAGAGGGCAGAATTTAAAAAAGTAATAATAAATATAAGACTGGGCCAACTATTACACAAGGTCATGTTGGGGTCAAACAAGGACGCATGAAAATAAAGGCATAACAGAATTTTCATGTTACGTGTCTTTTAAAAACACAAATGCCATATTTCTCCTAGTGGAATAAAATAAGGTTATTTAGAAAGTAAAGTGAAATTTTACATATATGTATATTGGTGAATGAATAAAATGAAACAAAGTAGATGAATGGATGGGAGAAAGAGAAATTGTAAAAAGAAACATACTCTCACATATACATACAATACATAATCAAGTTCTGACATACACAATGCACAGAATACTAATTTCAACCAAAGGCTTTTTACATCTAATAAACAAAACATCCCAAAATAAACTGAAATAAACAGAAAATATTAAATGAGAAATTAAAACAGAAAATACATTGTCGCTAAGTATTTATGTCGTAAACTAGAAGTTAAATTCAACAGTGTATAAAAACAAACTAACAGAACGATGAAACATATTTATATATGATTGTTCAGTTAATCAAAACAGTGAGATGGAAGAAACAAAAAAGAACTCAGTAGATTTTGATGAATAGATGGGTGGTTGAAAGTAGTCGATAGGATACCCTGCACTTAGGTTTTGCATTATTTAGCACTTGTCAATAACGTGATGCTCATTAGGATTGGAGGTCTGGGTAGTTCAGTGGTAAAGTTTCAAACAGTGAAGCAGGGTGATACAAATTCGAGTCCTACTGGGACGACCAGTACACTCAATATTACATTTAAGCCTTGGAGATGAATGACAACTAGTAAGAAATCCAAATTCAAGGTTTTTTGTAGACTACCTGCAACTACCTAACATCAAAACATGGCTCACGTGATGTTGAGTCATCTAAGGTAACGGTTACGTTGTAACTTGACTGACAGAATCCAGTCAGTAGAACTAAAAGACTAAATCAATATGACACTATTGACGCCTTAGTGACTAACCAACTATAATAGAAAGGCTGAAAAACAATCAATCAGTCCGAATATACCTTAGTTTTTAGAGACTCGAGAAGTTTCTTTAATTAATTTAAATCCTTTAAAAATACTGGACAGTGATCAAAATGATATTACCTAGTATGGAAAATAACTAGTGAAAACGTCTCAATGATGATATTAGAAGGAACTGAGTAATTACGTCATAAGAACGAGGGGTGTTAAACAATTATAGACGTCTTCATTATAACTGATAATGATCGTTAAGTGACTAATTGCAATACTTCTAAACATAAAGTATGCTTAATTTATATAAGTAGAAATAAATTTAGGTAATAAGTGTACCTCATTGTTAATCTATTTAGACGTTAGTAGTAACCAGTCCCAAAACAACATATAACTTATTATAAATGTGTAACGGTTCAATTTACATTTCACCTCAGCATAACAACAAAATACTAGCAAGATGATAGGTAAATACATAGAAATAATAACGATAGTGGAAGATTAAATGTGAGAATTATAGTTCAGAAGGAATGAAGAATATTGGGAGAAATAAGTTGAAGACTAAGAGGTAAATAGGTAATGAATACATCCACACCGATTAAAATGTTAACAACTTTTAACATCATTGGGTCTAATGGTTCATGAACAGTTTATGAACCGATTGTATATGTTGGTCTAATTGCTGCCGTAGTTCTTTCTACGTACTTCCATGCTAACCAGGAAAAAACGAAAATAAACTCTCTGAAATGTCATTTAATAATTACAAATGTCTAACTATGTTATTGACCAAGTACAATGTTGTTCAGCTGCTAAACAGTGAAGAGTGTGGGTGCAATAGAATTTCACTTTGTGAGTACTGGATGATTAAACCATCAGGCTGTCACATTATCACTTATCGTTTATTTAAAAAAGACTTTAAACAGTAACTCAATGATCTAAAGGCGATTGGGAATGTGGTAAGGTTTAAACATTTTAGGTTTGGTTATACACGCGTTTATGAATGCCAATTTTCTCTTGCCAGAACGAAATGACTATCCGATGCTTATAATGGTTTTCAGTGGTTATCCAATTAAATTTAGTTCATGATGCAAACTACAAAACGAAATAACATGTTTACCTTGTGCATATATCATCTATTAAATTAGACGGGAAAATATTGAATCTAACTGACTGTCTCAAATACATTCTTAAAACTAACCAAATGAATTAAAAGTCAATGTAGATTTCAAGATCAGTAAAAGAATATATTATAGAGATCGTGTAGAGGATAAAGTATGTTAAATGATTTAGAAAACAGCATCATCACAGTGTACTTCAAATTATCATTAGAAAACATAGTGAACGAATCAGTTATTCAATTCTAGTTGAACTTATTCACCTGAATATTGCAATTGATCTTTCGAATGAAGACATTTAGCTGTGTATTTCTAAATGCAATATTGATTTTAACTTCCATCTGGAATACATTGTAAATAGTGAAAATTGAGCAAATGAATGCATAAACTCCTAGTTAGTTACTAAAATGCCCATATTTATATATACCACACAAAAATAAATGTATTATTTATTGGAAAAATGTATTTCAATTACAAGAAAGTAACATGAGCATAGCTTTTGAACAGAAAGAAAACAAAGGAGAATGATTAAGGTTTCATGCTGTTATATTCTTTTTTACGTGTATGCCAATATGTATGTCAAGAAGAAGATGATGATGATGGTGAGATAATCTTTTCTCAACAAAACAATTAAAGAGTTAAAACACCTACTGATTTGTACATACAAAACAAAACACACTACTATTCACAGTTGAAGTATAAAATTAACAAACTTAAACAATACACCCTAGACACTATAGGGGTAATTTAAGAAAAAAAAGAAACTAAGATTATGCATCTTTTTTTCGAATAGACAAAGGAAGAAAACTTTTTTTAAAAGACAAAACTGCATAAGACTATCAAAGATTATAGTGAATTTCAATAATTTATTTGCAATTTTTACAGGAGAATAAAAAAACAACAGCTATCTAAACAGAAGTAGATCAAGTTGAGATAGAACTTCAGTTATAAATATATACTGACTGAAAGCTGAACTTTCTTTAACGAATAAGCTATCGTCTCATACAGAATTATAATCACGTAAGTAATGACTAATTTCGTAGACCACATTTACAGTTATCTAATTCTTACTTAAAACTCTCAATTAACACAGACCACTAAATTATGAAGTCGTTCGATAAGCTAATGAATTTAAACTATCATCTGACATTAATCAAACTATAAAAATAACTATTCTTCTTTTTAGTTCCGATGTTCAATAACTTTTGGATTAAAAAAAGTTTCACAGATTGAAATCATGAGTCAATTGAAGCTAGACCACCATGGAAAACCTGGAAGCACTGGACGGCCGTTTCGTCCTAGTAAGGGACTCCTTGAATAAATTAGAACAGTTCATCATTAAAAGAATAACATTTCTTAAAATATATTAAAAAATTTCGAGTCCCACGTGCGAGATCATGGCTCCGCACTACTGAGGAGTCTCACATATGAAGACGAAACAACCATCCAGTGCTTCCAGGTTTTCAATAGTAGTCCAGCTTAGATCGATTTGTGATTTCAACTGTGAAAAATAATATTTGTCTACAATTAAAGATTTCTTAAATAAACAAATAAGGACTGATCATAATTTTAAGAAAATGGTTGTTTTTAAAATATTATCATGTTTCATTTAATTGAATATGACCTTCATGTTGTTAGCGTCTCTTCCGTTCATACTATAACATGTGGTACACCCGATTTATTACAATATATCTTTATTGATAATATGTATTAAACTAAGCTATTTATAAACATAGCAATTGAGAATAATAAATTTTAAATATTAGTTAGCAATGAAATCTATTTAGGACAAATCAGTTGAATAAATATACATCTTAATGTTGATTTTAAAATCGAAAGTCAATTATGAATAAATAAACATACAATTAAATTCATTAATAATTATATATACATATTTTATGTATATAAGAGAACATTCTTACCAAAGTGATTGGTCTGCATCGCATAACTTTAATCTTTTCATCGGTATATGGAGAGAAATTTTGATAAGCTTGACTTATAGTTAGTATAGTTTCATATAAACCAAGATGATCATTCCCTGGTCTACTACATACACCATAACGACCAGTAGTCGTAGTTGTGGTTGTTGTAGTCGTTGCCACAGCCGCTGCTCCCACTACTGCCGAATTACCTGATAATTCTGATGTACACGAAGGTGGTGGAATAAAAGCGGAAACATGTCCACTACCATTACCAATAGTTGAATCAATTCTCATTGAATTTGTAGATGAATTATGCGGTAATGACATTAGCTGGTCTGAATTATCTCTTCCACAGTCAGAACCACGTGTTCGTCTGGGCATTCTACCATATCGTACACTATCTTTTGACATACCAGCAGCAAGACATTTACGAAAACGACAATATTGACAACGATTACGATTTAAACGTATTACAAGACATTTTCCATCTCTTAAACACTTGTATTCAATTTGTTTTTGAATACTTCGACGAAAGAAACCCTAGATTAAAAAAAGATTTAAAAAAAGCAGTTAAATAAACGTTACTACCGATTACACATATGTCAGCAAATGTGTTATCAAACATTACTGAACATTGATATTACATTGAATATAGTAACTTTAACAGATATTTTATGCTGACGATATAGGGCAGAAGTATCTAGTACTCAACTGCAAAGCTTATATCTTTAGCTTTTATTTACCTACACGATAGAACGTAAACTTAGTACAATATGGAAGTCAAAAATCTTTAAATACCAAGAGAAATGATGGAAATCTCAATAAACAAAGGAAAGAAGATCAGATTATGAATAAATTAAATAAATATGAAGAAATATAGTTCAATTAAGATGATCAAACTAGATTTCATTCACTTCAGAAAACATCTGCAACAGAAACTTATTCACGGTTAAATATTTTTAACAAAACCCTAGGTCAAAATGTATTCTCAGCAGTCCAGTACTTTCATGTTTTCAATAGTTGTCTAGCATAAATCGACTTGTGACTTCAACTGGGGAAATATTACAATCTCCACAAGTCACCATACTGATAAAATGTAGTCCATAAAATTACCAGCCGATCTAGTTTTAAAAGATTAAGGAATAGATAAGAAATATTCTTAGTGAAAGGAGATCCTTAGGAATTATGAAAACGTCTGGAAATGAAAAGGGTTTAGTATTATTACAAGATAATTTTCTATAGTCTTCTACTCTGCAAACTATACGAAGTTAGAGCTTCAAATTATCCAACCTTTCTTTTAAAGTAAAATACTTCTTTTCACATCTCATATTACTGAGAGATAAGATCTAAAAATTTGTACTGGTGTATTCATAGTGTGAAGATGAAACACTATCCTTAAGTTCTGAAAACTGACTTGAAATTGAATCATATTCATTAATTTTTATCTTAATACATATTTTACACTTAGAGAAACATGAAAAACACAATCTTTTTAAAATTCAACGTATTTACCATGTAAAGGTTTATGTATTTATCTTCGATTCACATTCTACGATGGAGGTTTAGTAATATTAACCGTTTACTCAAAATGAAGTATATAAAGTGGGCCTTGAGCCTGCAACCTAAAGGCTTAAAGTTGAATAACTTAAACAATGAACCACCACTCTATACTGGTGATAACAAGCATCATCATTAGCATATTGAATTTTAAAAATAAGTATTATGAATTGGAGAAGAAATATTCACTACTTCTCTTATAAAGAATACAACTTATATTTGAGTCAGTGAGTTAATATTTCGTGTATGTGCACTGCTGAGGAGTCCCATACTACGACAAAACGGCCGTCTAGTGCTTCCAGGTTTTCCATGGTGATCTAGCTTCAATCGACTCATGAATTCAGCTATGAAAATTACGATAATATCCACAAAACCCCTGAGTAGAAATTACTGTCATCATATTTTAAATACATTTAATTGAGTAATAGACATATTATCAGACAGGTTAAGATTTTGTAGGTCAAACTCTAATAGATTTGTGCGTTTGTGTATGATACTGATATCCATTAGACTGTACACACACTGAACATATTTACAATAGTTTAGTAATAAAAGTACAAAAATAATGGTTATATTAAAATGAAAGAATGTTAAGTGTGTAATTAGTCTTTCAGACTATGTTAAGTGTCATTTTCACTTATATTAAATTCACATTTTAGAAGCTAATCGGAAAGTATTACGTTTTCAATGTGAACTTAATTTCATGCAAATATGAAAAGTTGATCATTTGAGTAACAAGCTATTTACAATAAAATGACAAAAGATTCTTCAGCTATACTAACGGGACTGTTTTATAGTTAAAAAAATGGTTTTTATCACAGATTGAGTGATTTTGGCTAGATAATAATTAAGAACTAGGAAGTATTGGATAGTTATTTTGTTTACACATGAATCTTCATGTCAATAGTGCACACCAATTACATCACAAGGAATTAGACTGAAGATATTTAGGTATTGCTAGGAGAGTGCGTTAACTTCAGATCGGTTAGCTGTTACTTAGCAGTTAACACCTTTAACTCCTGTGAGTTCACAATTTTGAGCGACTAGTGACACTAAAGATATACGTCTGAAACCAGAAAAAGTTGATAGAAAATATAATAATAATAAATATTATTATTGCTTATATTAACCCAAAGAGAGCAATTCTGATAAAGAAATCAACACAGATAATACAGAGTAATTGTTCTTTTTTTACTAATACGTTAACAAACCTAAATCACGAATAAATTTTAGTGGGGAAAATTAAGGAATAGTATGGGGATTCGTGCAGTCGATTGTTGTTAAGATTACGAACTGACTTAAATTAGACAACCAATTAGAACCAGAAAGTAATGGATTATTATTTTGTCCCATAATGGGACTCCACATTCAATTAAGCACATACAATATTAAGGAATATTTAAACTATAATACAACAACAGTTTCACATTCTTTGATTATAATTTTTTTCAGAGATTCAGAATGATTACAAAATGATTACTAATAAAGTTTATATTAAATGGACTGCGTTTTCAGTCAGTCAGTCAATTACAACGTAGGACAAGGCACATATGTGCATCGGTCCAAGTTACCATACCTCATTAGCACAACAATAAGTAGTTAATTCAGTGGTGGTAATATATAAAAGAAAGATTGCATATAAGGATATAATACTGGGAGAAAGAATTGGTTCGTAAAAAGAAAAGCATAAACTAATTTTAATCTCTTAGTTTAAGAGAAGACAGGGAGTGTATATACCTACGCCATTGTGATAGATTCTGAGTCATGTCACCAAGAGTCTCCAACCGTTGGTTACGATAGTCACGCGAACCCCAACCAAGTATTCTGCATCTCCCAACATGACTTAGACTAGAAGCTAGTAACTTTAAGCACTGATACAAAGTTTTGGTTTAGCCACCCCTAACTTTCTTCCAACCATCCCGAACACCGGTTAGCATTGCGTGTTGTGGTAATCGGTGTTCAGGCATACGTAACACGTGACCCAACCATCTCAGTCGATGAAGATTCACCAGCTCATCAACTGATTTACCATCATCCCCCAATACCCTGCGTTTAACCTCACTATTACTGCGTTTTGAGTAAGTAAGGAGTAATCAATATACTGGATAGTTTTTTTACAGTTTTCAATGTTTTTTCTAGTCAAATTCACTTTATCAAGTTAAAAAATAACTGATTTTCTTGAAGAAATCTCAACACCATAAAGAGTTATCGTCATGTATGTTTCTGTTTGTTTTATCTTTATGATTTTTTGTTGTTGATAAAATATTAACAACCAAATAAATTTATCAGGTGTAATTAATTGTCCCGCAATAAAAAAATTACAACCCTTCAAACGAGAATACAATAAAGTGTATGCTTTATAGATGTATCATCAATGTGAATTTTTAAGAATGTGAGAAAAAAATACGTAAAACCCGAAAAACCAGGTAATAACATTCACCTAAAATAAACAAAATAACGATGAGAAGAAAAAGGATTTATTTATTGATTGATACCGTTAATGATGATGATAATGACAATGACAAGACTAATGATAATAACAGAAGAAATAGCAACTACCCAAGTTCATTATGCTTTATGGATGAAATTATAAAGGAATTAAACATGTTAAAACAGGCAAACCCAATTTGTCATAACATATATATAAGTAAACAAGCGTAATGATACTAATAAATTTATCATGTTTTAGTCCGAACACAGTACATACATACGTAGCGGGTTTGGCCAATATACTTAACGTTGTTTAACATTTTATTGGGTTTATTAAGTTGTTTACAAGTGAAAAGATGAGTAGATAAATAGGTAGGTGGATAGATTAAAGACAAGATAGTAAATAAATAAATAAACAGATAAATAAATAACTGAATATACATATACTAACCATTTATACCTATTTGGTAAAGAGAGACCATTCATTATGTATGATTTATTATTATTATTATTATTCTAGCAGTAGTAACAACCATGGAGAAATAATAACAACAATAAACCTGTTTTCTACGGCATATATACATATACAGATACACACATATACATACACTAGAAGATAACAACAAGAGATGTAAAATAATTAAGAAAAGAATAAACAATATTCTAATTAGAAAATAATATATTTACTGAAATTAAAACAATAAATAGTATAGTTGCCACTGTTTTGTACAGTAGACGATTGACGGAAATACAAGTAGAAAGTAGTTTGGAAGCTCTCGCGGAATGATTACTTATACTAAAAGAAATACTATGGAGTAATGCCACTGCATTAAAGATATTCAATCTGATATGAATTATATTTAATTTTTTAAATCATTTAAATATTTATCCTTTTAGTATTATTCATATTTTGTTTAGCCATTGTATGTGCGATATTGACATTAAACGAACAATTGTGAGTAGGTAAGTTTAGCCAACTCGTAAGACCGTGATCTGATAGCAATTTGTACGAAAACGAACAGTGTAGAATGTAAAATTCATAGTTACAAATGAAAATAAACAAGATATTTATTACCTTCATGTTTAAAGTTTGGAATTAAATACCATCGATTCTAAAACAGAATAAATCCGGATATTCAATTTTCTCAAGGATGCGAACGCATATTGTTAATGAGTAATACTAAGCATTAGATACATTTCAAGTTATGACTCAAAATGCTAAAATTCTTGCGATTCATTATCCTACCACGTGTTCAAGCACTCGACCTCATATCATACGATTTATTATGTATAAAGACTATTGATACTGTCAGGTTAAGCAGTTTTAATCTGTAATATCAGTTATCAAAATTTGTCTGTTGTTTCAGTCATTAAACCACCCCATTATTGGGACTCTACACTGGATTTCGTAGACTAATTTCTAAAAAATTAAGTACAATAGAATGCAACCTGTAATAATAAGATTGCAACAGTTAAATAAATGATTCATTTAACTAGTATATTTGACGAAAAGCTGAATTTTGTTAAGTAGTATTATTCGCTTAGTTTTCAAT